GAAATGAAAATGAAATGAAATGGGGCTTAACGTCCTACTGTTCTGCTCCTAACCTGGGCTAATGAAGACGGGCGTACGCCATACAGTGTGCTATGAGGGAAATTTTGCCCGGGCAGCGGCGCTATGGCCTACTCTTATATCGAATTCCAACTGCCAAGGGATCTTTTAAGTGCACGCCAATGTGTACACGGGAACTCGGTTTTTCGTCCCATCCCGACGACTAGACAGCTGTCCTTGTCAGGCCCTCCATCCTGCATCACTGACAAGGGGAAACCACGCCGGAAAATCTGAATGAACTTTCTCGGACAATGCAGGGATCGAACACCCGACCTCCAGGCTAGCGAGCTAGCGTCTTAGCCACGTGATCCCCCGTGCAGAATGAGAGGAAGAGAGAAGAATAGTTTAACGTTTACTGAACACAAACTAGGTCATTTCAGGACTAACATATGGTTCCATTTTATTCGGTTAATTTAGTTGCGTGTATGGGTCGTGAGCAGAATGAGGAAACCCGAGGACCCGGAGAGAAACCACGAAGTAGGACAGACGACCCCACACCACTTGGCTCATTGACAGACCTTATGACCCGACCCGCACGCGTTAACCTTTTCAAACGTCGAAATCCCCAACAGAAAGAAATATACAAAGGTCCGTGATCGTTATTAGACAATTAACAATCCCATAATTATTTTTGGAGAATATTTTTGGCAGACCTAACTGGCCTTTACAAAGCGCAATAATGACACATTTTCTAAAGATACAATATGGGAGATTACATAAAGAGCTGACAGTTCCCACTATAATAATTAAAAACTAGATAATGTAAAGGGGATTTGCTGAAAATTTCTGTCAAATTGATCCACTCTGAACCGAGAATTCAGCGATAGAATTTTAGGCCTAGCCTCTATCATCATTACTAAAGTCGGTACGATAAAAAAAAAAACATAGTCTCGATTATCCATTTCATGATTTAATCATGAATGAAAGTTGAGCAGCAAATCGGATCCTAATCCATAAATATTGCAGGTTAGCGATGACATCGAGAGCTGATTATGGTCTGGATAAGTTAAACATACATTATGCAAGAGCTAAATCTGTCTATTGCAGGTCTTTCTTTAGGCCTGAAATGTTATCTAAATTATTAATTAGACATTAATTAACCTATCCAGACCATAATCAACTCTAGATGGCATCGCTAGCCTGCGAGCTTTGGTTGATTATGAGCCGATTTAACGATTAAATTGATAATCGAGACTATGTTGTTTATCGCACTGACTTTAGTAATGATGATCGAGGCTATAGGCGGAAATTTCAATCGCTTAGTTCTTGGTTCATAGTGGATCAATTTGAATGAAATTTTAAGCAAATTGCCTTTACATTATCTAGTTTTTAACTACTATAGTGAGAACTGCCAACTTGTTATTGAATCTCCCATAATGTATCCTTAATTAATGTCTAATTAATAATTTCTTTAACATCTGAAGCCTAAAGAAAGACCTGCAATAGGCAGATTTAGCTCTTGCATAAAGTATGTTAATAAAGTCCAAATATAACTATTTCTATTTCAGTTGCTTATGTCAAATCATTTGTATAAAATCTTGGGAATCATTCTAGCACTTAAACACCCACATAAACATTTGAAATATGTTCTACTTACGCACGGTACTTGGGAATACTAAGTTGACATCCTTTTACACTATTTGTCGGGAAATGTCGGCCCAATTTCAACTAAATTCAAACTCAACCATTTCTAGGGTGTAACAGTGATATATATAAACGGGTTTTTGAATCCGATAGTGTCCACAAGCTAAAAACGTTATTTTTCATACAATCAGGGGACCATAATCCATGAAGTTGCGTCCGATATACGCGAATATGGAAAGGAATCGAGATCTTTGGGTTATAAACATATATTTCAAGTTTCATCAAAATCGAATAAAGTTTTTACCCCATTTTGACGAAACTTGAAATATGGGTTTATATCCCAAAGGTCTGTTCCTTTTGATATTGGCATGTCTCGGACCCGTAACTTCATTCCGATAATTTGATAGCCATTTCCATTAATAATATTAGTGAGGCCGAGTGTCAAGGCCGTCTAGCTTCTTCAAAGAATATTGAAATGACCTAGTTTGTGTCGAGTGGACTTTCACTCATCTCTCCCTCTCTCTCTCTTTAAACTTGAAGAACAGGAAACAGAGAGAATGTGATGGGTTTAGCGTCCACTCGATAAAAAATAGGTCATTCGGGACTAACATATGGTTCACTTTTATTTCATTAATTCGGTTGCGTGTAGGGGTCTTTAGCAGTCGGAGGAAACCCGAGCAATTCCACGAGGTAGGACAGGCGACTCAATGCCAGACCTTATGATCTCACACGCACGCGTTAAGCTATTGGAAAACCCAAATCCCCAACAGGACGCATTGTGTAAGATATTGGATCATTATTAGACAACCAACAATCCCATATTTACTTTGACTAATGTTTTGGCCAAACCCAACGTGCTTTAGAAAGGGATTTTTTGACGGTAGACATTAAACATACATTATGCAAGAGCTAAATCTGCCTTTTGCAGGTCTTTCTTTAGGCCTGAAGTGTTTTCTAAATTATTAATTAGACATTAATTAACTTATCCAGCCCATAATCAACTCTCGGTGGCATCGGATTTCTCCGATATTAAATAGATTAGAACAGTTCAGCCATATTTTGATTTAAGCTAAAAATGGAGGAGCGAGACTTAGCTTCGAACAACCAGTACGGTGGTTGAAATTATTGCACACGTCTTGTCAAACCTTCAAAGGCTAATATCTTCGCTCGCAATTATTCATTTCACATTATCTATTTTCGAATTAGTATAGCAAGAATGGCTAGCTCTTTATCTAAATCTTACATAATGTATCTTTAACTTAAAAGTAACCTTTCACAATAGTCATGCTTGTGCATAGCGTCAAAGAAGACTGTATTCGCGAGACTAATTTCAAAACATCTTTTATTACTTGTAATAGCTCAAGTCATGGGGTCACGGGAAAATAAAATACTTTGTGTAATATTTCTTTAATATTATCTGCTTTAAACGCTGTTTTTGTTATTGTTTGATTATTTGTCACAATAATCTTTGTTGGTGAATAGTTCGTTTTCATTTATCAAAATGAATACCCGTTTTCACATTAAATCAGCCGACACTAAACATTGTGTCTCATATACAAGGCTCTCCGCAATGACACTTCGGTATCGGTTCAAGAACCCCACTCAGTAATTAAGCTGAACATGCTAGGAAAGAAATGAAATAGGGGTTAACGTCTTGTTCTGCTCCGATTGGGCTAATGAAGACGGGCGCTATGAGGAACATTTTGCCCGGACAGCGGCGCTTAATGTCTATATACATATCTTAAAGTTAAAGATACTGCAAAAATACATTTTAGGTATGGGATTGCACGGTTCGGTTCACATCGCAGTTGATCCTGTTATGCGTGTGTGTTAAATACCTTTATTTAACGACCGCTTCCCCGATCGGAACAGTGGGACGTTAAACCCCATTTCATTTCATTTCGCTCCCCCGCGAGAATGGTTTGGATTTTTGTTTTGTTTTGGGGGCTTTTTTTGGTGCGGGGGGGGGGGGCTGTGCGGATTCGTCACTTATGATTCATAGTTTTTCAAATTCAAATATTTTCCATTCGTTTATTTTACCTTATCTATATATTCACAGATATTTTATATGTAAATAAATTTCCCCAAGTCTTTACCGGGTAGGCTTATAATACATGTAGGTGACGGAATCTCTTGCAACACATTACATACTTACGATCTATAACATTAATGCTCTTTGGTCAAACCTTTTAAAAGAAAATTCTCCTCAGGCTCATTGCTTATTTTTAACAACGAGTTCGGAGAATTTGAGAACAAATAAGTGCTATTAATAAAGGTGTGTAATCTTGGTATAGAAAGATCCGGGTTGGACCAATGTGTCGTATATCATGGCTCAGACCGACTCTAGCATGGGCCGGTTTGAGAGAACCCCCATCCCCGATAGTGCTTTAAGTTTCGTCTGCAATATTCCCTTTTTCACCCAAAATGTTAATTAGTTGCCCATGTTCTGTCGTTTACTTGTTCTCTTTAAGTTTTTCTTATAGTCAGCGCTGTTTTAGTTTTCAAGCACCTGTTGTATGGAATAATCTACCATTTAGTTTAAGATGTTGTAGATCTCTACATTCTTTTAATAAAGAACTTATAACAACTGTTAACATGTCCATAATCTTGTGCTGTACCATAAAGTCTGTCATTGAGTCGACTGGCATGGTTTCGAATCCCCACGGTTGTACGTGACAAGGAGTAGGGTCGCCGGGTCCTCCGGTTTCCTCCCACTGCTAAAGACCCCTATGCGCAAGCGAATTATTGAAATAAAATTAAACCATATGTTAGTCCCGAAATGACCTAGTTGTGTCGAGTGGACGTTAAACCCCATTTCTCTCTCTCTCTCTCTCTCTCTCTCTCTCTCTCTCTCCATAATCTTGTTGTTTCTTTTATATAGAGAATCTCCTACTTGTCTTCTTTCTTTACTTTATCAACGAGTGTTGATATTTTTAGATATCATAAAAGACGAGTAGGAAATTTTATTTATCACTCAATCCTTTCTTACATGCACTTTTACTGAACCTAATTACATTACGACGCAGTGATACATCACTTTTTGACAGCAATTCGACCATTGCAAAGTCCTTTATATTGACCCAGTGTTTCCATGAAAGTCAATTAAATAAAAATAGTTCCTTTTTTAATAAGGAAGAAATTATTTTTAATAAAAAAAAATGAACTGTTCTTTCAAAATTAAAAAAACGTAGTTCCTTTTTGATTGACCAATCAGTAGATTATTACATTTATCACACAAGCGATATCTACTGTAGAATGTATTACTGGGTGATAAATATGGTTACATTGTCACTTCTAACGACACACTATAAATATGTTGTAATAATACGTCTCTTTTTATTTCACTTATATATACTAACGTTAAGCTCGAATCACTTGTTATGCATGGTATGTATATATACGTTTAGGAATACCCGATTTACTATACCTAGTATATCATTATCAATCTCCATAACACAAGCACAGGCAGTCGTTTGCACTTGTCGATTAAGGATCACGCCACCGTTATTTGTAGCTACGCGTTCAATGTTAGAGGCATCTGATAATGCATCGGCACCGCTTCAAAACCATAGGTCTAACGGTTTGCTCAGATCGACAACGCGTGGATGCAACAGCACAAGCACTGAGCTTGAGCGATTGGAAACGTATCGATCATGGAGGCGTGGAAACGACCCTGCTCCCTTGACGCTGGCACGGTGTGGATTTTACTCTACTTCTAGAGATGACGAGGTTCGATGCTGTGATTGTCTGATGACTGTGAAGAATTGGGCAGAAAGGGATCATCCTTACATTGAACATTACAAATTAAACAAGCGTTGTATATTTGTTCAAAAGTTTCAGGATAGAGTGTCACGCTTTCAACTTACTGGTTATCCTAGTACTGGTGTATCAAAATTGGCCGATTATTCTGTTCGGATTTCTTCATTTGCTACCAAGGAGCACCTCTTCATCAACCAAAATAAAGTGGTTTTATCAAATGCTGGATTCTATTATAAAGGACCAGGGGATAAAGTGATATGTTTTGAGTGTGAACTTGTACTGAAGCAATGGGTATCTTGTGACATACCAATTTGTGAGCATATTACATTTTCTCCTTATTGTCCATATGTTAAAGCCTTTCTGGCAAACCTTGATTCAATCCTTGGACTGGATACAAAAAGCCTATTAAGAAAAATGGAACCACACCATTCGCCAAACGGGGGACTTGGATATCTGCAACAGACTACAAGAAATTATTTTGACTCTCCTCATCATCAACACAGACTCAGTACGCCGACTTCATCTCAAATTCAAGACATCAAAAGCCATCCATCTATTTTTGATTACACGCAACCTACTGATCGATCATCAGCAACTCAATCTGGTACGCTTGACGGAGAAATAAAGGGACTACAGGCTACAAGAAATCATTTTGACTCTCCTTATCATCAACACAGACTCCATACGCCGACTTCATCTCAAATTAAAGACATCAAAAGAGATCAATATATTATTGGTCATACCCAACCTACTGATCGATCATCAAAAATTGAATCTGGTACGCTTGACGAAGAAATAAAGGGACTATCAGTCAGTGACCAAATAGAAGTTGTTGTATCTATGGACTTCGATAGAAAACTCGTAGAAAGGGTTGCCCGGGAACATCTTGATAAATCTGGAAAAGGCTTTGCACATGCTGAGGAATTATGTGCAGCTGTTTTGGATGCCCAGGAAGATACATCGTACAACTTAAAACAATCTATCGAACGGAATACTGAGAGAAACAGAGAGAACCGTCAGGAGAAGGTTGACGAATCAGGCGACCCAGTTGTTGATGAAGGTCTCGGTAATTCTATAGGTTATTTCGATAATAAAAATCCTGCATCTAATAATGATTATAACTCACCAGTAATTACACCGTCCAACACTCATACCTATGTGGATGAAGGAATCGGCAATTCTTTAAGCTATCAAAGCCAGCAAACCCACGAAAGAGGTGTCATTTTGTGTAAAATTTGTTTAGACAATCCTGTTGAAGTGACTTTTCAGCCATGTGGACATCTTTTAACTTGTAATTTATGTTCTGGACGTGTAGATAATTGCCCTATCTGTAGATGTATTATTCGCGGCCGTGTTAAAACTTATCTACCTTAACGTAAAGCTGACTCATTTGCATATTTCGTTAAAATACCTAATATCGCATGGGTTAATCCACGTACTCAGAAGGATTATTTAACATTTAATTTAAAAAATCACGAACCGTTACTTTAATTATTTTCAAATATTTATTTATTTCTAGATATTTGACTCAGTGTATCTTGAATGTATATTAAAACTGTTAGATACAATTTTGTTACCTCTTTAAATAGTGGAAAAGTTGCTCATTATAAACATACCAATAAAGTTATTAATTAGAGCGCGAACGTTATCAATACTATTACTTTCACTTTCGATATGAATATACTTTTTCATAGAAAATTATACAACGCATGTATTTGTTATTAAGAAATTAAGCGATCGATATTACCATATGTGGTCACGTTATATCAGGTTATCAATACTATTACTTTCCCTTTCGATATGAATATACTTTTTCATAGAAAATTATATGACGCATGTATTTGTTATGAAAAAATTTAGCGTTTGATATTACCATATGTGGTCACGTTATATCAGGTTATAGTATAGCTGACATAACATATTAATTAGATATTGTATACCATAATTGGCGTACCATGATTTGGGCAACGTGCCAAGCGTACAGTAATTTAATTAATTCAAATATTGGACCCGCGTGACGTATTTCATTGAAATGCACATGCTCGATAGTGCCTGTATTTTAAGTTGTTTTATGATCACCGGCAAGACATTATGTAATATATACATATAACCCTTGGGGCTAACGCCTCCGTGCAATATAAATATAATACTTAATGTTTCGCCCTCGACCAATTAACTACACATAAAGCAGGATATCATCTGCATAGCTGACATCTCACAATGATAATATTTCCTGGAGGATTTTATATTTGTGAATTTGTAAACAGAAATTACCCGTTGGGAAGTACACGAGGGTAAATTTATAGATTGTTTTAGATTGTTTCGTAGGAGATTGTATATATGTGATCATTCCCGTTTTTTTCTGTGGCTTAATTAATATATTGATATTGCACGAGTGCCTTAGCACGGGGTCTTTATCTATATATTACGTAATGTCTTACACGAGACCTTTAAACATCTTAAAATACAGACATTATATTTTATGTAAGTTCTTTTCTTTTTGTATATTTTTATGCAACTTTTATTTTTATGTTCGAGTTTTAAATCGCACGATATACTATACTGTGTCATCAATAAATGTCAAAGTTCAAACGATTTATTTTGCCCTCATACTTGTTATAATTTTAGTTGCATTCCTTCACGTTACCAGTCATATTGTGAAATCAGTACACGCCTGAGCGCAAGCTTGATTCTAAAGTTATTCAATAACCCTTCCATTAATTTGCTTCACATACCTCAATTATCCAACTTCGTCTCTGTTAAACTCATTTGATTTTCGCCTAACATTCTTTGTTTCATGGGGATCACGTGGCTAACGGGGTAAGACGCTGGCTCGCTAGCCTGGAGGTCGGGTGTTCGATCCCTGCATTGGCCGAGAAAGTTCATCCAGATTTTCCGGCGTGAATCCCCCTTGTCAGTAATGCAGGACGGAGGGCCTGACAAGGACAGCTGTCTAGTCGTTCGGATGTGACGAAAAACCGATGTCCCATGTACACATTGGCGTGCACGTAAAAGATCACTTGACAGCTGGAATTCGATATAAGATTAGGCCGTAGTGCCGCTGTCTGGGCAAAATTTCCCTCATAGCACACTGCATGGCGTATGTCCGTCTTCATTAGCCCAGTTCGTAGCAGAACAGTAGGACGTTAAACCCCATTTCATTTCATATCACAATGAACCAGGTTGAGCACAACAGTCTATATATACATTTTTTCACCCCCCCCCCCCTGCCTTTTGTCTCCTTTTCCGATCTCTACTGTGTCTCATCTAACAGCTTCCTTAGTTTGACCCATTTGCATAACCCCCGTACAAACTGCTCCCACCCCCACACCACCACCACTAAGGACTAAATTTTCATCGCCCTAAGTCAGTGCTTCTTTGGGGACTTAACCTCTCCCCCAAATTCTTAAATCTTCCCAATAATCACGTGCCCTAACCATATTACGACCTTGATGATAAGAGCTGTTGGCCTTGATGATATCTGCAGTTGGCCTTAACATTTATATTGTACCCGACAACCCTTTGTGCACACTGATCACCATTGAATATTTACTAGGCCGCTATAATCAATGATACAGATAAGATCGGTGTGGGTTACCGGGACTGCACGTATTTAAGCCCACCCGTTATTTAACCCATGGGCTTAATAACGGGCTAAAAAAACGTTTTTAAGCCCATGGGCGTAAATTAGATTATCGAATTAGAGTGGTCCCCCTTAATGGATGTTTGTTGATATGTTTGATGTGGTGCACATGCATTCCGTTTGCGGGGATAAGATAACATTTTTGAGAACTTAATGACGCCAAGTTAATTGTTAAAACCAAACTTGACAATTTTCATTTTTTTGGAGAGATCATGAAAATGCTGTCTTTATTAAACTTTGAATATTCTACATGTTTTGATTGTTTTTGCTAGTTTTTCGTTTTTAAGCCCTGGGCTTAAATTCGACTAAAATGTTACCTGATGAAAACAGGAAAAATCCGTATTTAAGCCCTGGGCTTAAATACGTGCAGTCCCGGTAATTAGCTCGCACTATTTAACTCTTTCCCTTCTGCAAATTGTAAATTCTAGAACATTTTGTTGAAGTATTAGAAAAATAAATAAAGTTTATTATGTTGATAAAAAAAAAATCCTATTTAGGGTAACTGGGTACATAAAATGCGTAAAAGGCAACGTCTTGTGTAAACAATGTACGCGTCATTGAGCTAATGATCGACGCCTCGTGATGTGACGTCACATATTGAAAGCAGTCATCTTATAGAGTTATAAGACAACTTTCGCAATACCTCTGTCAAACGGACCGCCTCTTCTGTCGACAGTATGATAGTCCATAGATCTGGGGCCTGTTTTACGATATTTTAACTAAGATAAAATCCAAATTTTTAAAATTTGATTGGATAATATTAGTTTGATTTTAGTGCTTAGCCAATCAAAATTGAAGTATCCACTAAAATTTGGATTTTATCTTTAGTTAAGATTTCGAGAAAAAGGGCCCTGGTTTTAAACGGAAAGCCACGCAGAATGGATAACGGAATGGAATGGGAACAAACTGTATCATGTTACTAAAACGGCCTTCGTTTCGAATTTATAAGGGGAGACAACGCTATTGTATATATTTAAGTCCATTTAATGAATGATTTGTATTGTTTAATGGTCGAGAGCGAGACATTAAGTAATATATTGTAACAACATGAGGGCCGTGAGGCCCGAATGTTTTTACAATATATTACTCAATGTCTTAAGCTCGAGACCATTAAACAACTTAAAATACAGACACTTGCACGTGCTTTGCAATGAAATACGTCACTCGAGTTCAATATTTTACGAAGTTACGCTTGGCACATTGCCCGTACGATTATTTGAAATAATGGTACTCCAACATCAAAGGATGACGTCACATCTGTATTTTAAATATAAATAATGTATATATTTCTAATTCATTTATATTTTATTGTATTATCAAAATCTATAGTATGTTTCACTGATTTTCAAATATGTATAACAAGTATATGTTTTTACGTTTGTTATAATTACCAATATTCGTTCTACGTTCCCGGTAGATTTAAGTTGCTGTTTGATTTGTTCCATTGTGTGTATGTTCCTTTTCTCAATCTCTGTTATCACAAATAGTTTTACAATATTTACATTATATGATATCAGCTTTACATATAAACTGATATAACGTTAAAGATAGATTATTTATTAACAAACATCATAGAAGCCCTTGTAAACTACATTATATGATGTCAGCTACACAATGACATATAAACTGATATAGCGTTAAAGATAATATTGAACGTTAAATTACTTATTAACAAACATTAAAGAAATCCTTGCAAACTACTGTGAAAGCTGAACCTTTCATAGTAATATAAGTACAAGGCGTTTCATTACCGTTCAGTATTTACAAAGATATGATTAATTGAAAATTCAATCGATCTGTGCTGCTCCCTATGTAGCAAGACGGCCGCCATTGTTAATTGCCCATTTCCCGTGAACCCTATTGCTGGGCCTGTTTTAAACCAGATTGAATCAAGGACGGGACATTATCCAATCTTATTAAAACACATCCTAATTCTTTTCGTTTTTTATAGTTCAAAATTGAAGCGAAGGATTAGCCAATGAAACGGTCTGTTACGGCGAGTTCTTCCGGTGCGATGCACGGAACTGTGGGTAAACCACTAGAAACGTCAACGCTGATAGACTAATCAATGAGGGTCAAAAGCGAATTTTCAGTACAGAGAGAGAGAGAAATGGGGTTTAACGTCCACTCGACACAAACTAGGTCATTTCGGGACTGACATGGTTTTTAATTTTATTTCAACAATTCGCTTGCGCATAGGGGTCTTTAGCAGTGGGAGGACCCGGAGAAAACCCACGAGGTTGGACAGGCGACCCTACTCCTTGTCACGTACAACCGGGGCGTCGAAACCACGCCAGTCAGACTCATGACAGACTTTATGATACAGCGCGCGCACGCTAACCATTCAGCCATCCAACCCACCCAATTTTCTGTACAACCGGTCAAATCGTCATGTAGTGAAGGCAATCGAAAGTATAAATAAACGAAACGCAATGTAGATTTGTATTTTAATCAGATTTTGGTATGTGTATTTTGAATTTGTTTTCTTCAATAAATGTTAAATAATCAAGCTGATCAAGTAAATATTAGCGTGTATTAAGCCAGAAGAAATTTGATAGTCTTATTTCTATATACTTACGTAAAACTCTAGTTAATGCATGACGTATATACACGCCTTTTGAATACCCGATTACTGTTATACTAGTATATCATTATCAATCTCTGTATCACAAGGCCAAGCAGTCGTTTACACTTGTCGAGTAAGGATCACGCCACGCTAATCGTAGCTAGCTTTCAATGTTAGAATGCTCTGGCAATATATGTGCACCACTTGAAAAATATGTGGTCAGATGTAACAGCACAAGCACTGAACTTGAGCGGCTGGAAACCTATCGAGCATGGTGGCGTGGAAACGACCCTGCTCCCTTGACGCTGGCACGGTGTGGATTTTACTTTACTTCTAGAGATGACGAGGTTCGATGCTGTGATTGGATTGTCTGATGACTGTAAAGAATTAGGCAGAAAGGGATCATCCTTACATTGAACATTACAAAATAAACAAGCGCTGTATATTTGTTCAAAAGTTTCAGGATAAAGTGTCACGCTTTCATCTTACTGATTATCCTAGTACTGGTGTATCAAAATTGGCCGATTATTCTGTTCGGATTTCTTCATTTGCTACCAAGGAGCACCTCTTCATCAACCAAAATAAAGGATTTTTATCAAATGCTGGATTCTGTTATAAAGGACCAGGGGATAAAGTGATATGTTTTGAGTGTAGAATTGAACTGAAACAATGGGTGTCTTGTGACATACCAATGTGTGAGCATATTAAATGGTCTCCTTGTTGTCCATACGTTAAAGCCTTTCTGGCGAATCTTGATTCAATCCTTGGACTGGATACCAATATCCTAACCAGAAAAAGGGAACCAAATCATTTGCCAGACGGTGGACTTGGATACCTTCAGAAGGCTACAAGAAATTATTTTGACTCTCCTCGTCATCAAAACAGACTCCGTACGCCGACTTCATCTCAAATTCAAGACATCAAAAGAGATCAATATATTGTTGATCATACACAACCTACTGATCGATCATCAACAACTCAATCATCTGGTACGCTTGACGAAGAAATAAAGGGGCTATCAGTCAGTGACCAAATAGAAGTTGTTGTATCTATGGACTTCGATAGAAAACTCGTAGAAAGGGTTGTCCGGGAACATCTTGATAAAACTGGAAAAGGCTTTGCACATGCTGAGGAATTATGTGCAGCTGTTTTGGATGCCCAGGAAGATACATCATACAACTTAAAACAAACTATCGAACGAAATACTGAGAGAAGCAGAGAGAACCGTCAGGAGAAGGTTGACGATTCAAGCGTCCCAGTTGTTGATGAAGGTCT